GGGGTTTTCCCTTTTCCTTTTAATCCCCCGGACCAGCTTCAGAGTCACTGGTTTCTTTCGCACAACATATCTGTCCCAAAAGTGGCCTGTACCTCTCGTTCCTTTATGATTTGGCTAAATTTGGGTTTACAAAATTGTCATTGTAACGTCACCAGCACGGTTGCCAAATTGCTGTGTGGGGTGATTTTCATTAAAAAAAAAGGTTTTTCACTTTAAGCCTTTTGCACACTTTTCCTTTAAACTTTTTAAGTAGGCAATTCCTTTTTTTTCTCTCTCCCCTCCTTTTAACCAGTTTCCCCAGGGCGGCCTCTTTCTCTTTAAATTTTATCTTTTCAGCTCATCAGGGGTTTGTTCTTCCTTGTTCCCCCTCCCCAACCTTCCACATCATCCCCCCTAACCTCCAACCCCCAAAGGGCTTTTCCCCCAAAGGGCCCAATTTTATTTCCCCAAATGGTTTTACTCCCCCAGGGTTTAAACCTCTAAACCCCTTTAAAATCCCTTTTTTCTACACATTCTGGCCACAGTTTCTTCAAGCGAGTTCAAGGTTCTCTTTTCCTCCCCCCCAAGCCTTACCTATAAGGGTTTTCACAATTGAGGGAAATTTAAAAGTTCCCTTTAAAACTCTTTTAGGGCAATTTGATTCGGGGGCAACCCCCAAAGGCCCCCCTTTGAAATTTTTAAATTTTGCTTTTGTGTTACCCCCCCCCCCCCCCCCCCCCCCTTTCTTTAATTGGAAAAAAAACCTGCTGGCCATGGGCCCGCAGGAGAGGAGTGGGATTAGGAAAGGGAAAAACTTCACCTTAAAGAAACTCATGTCCCCATAAAGTCGCTCTGCCACGTCTGTAGGATGGGCCCCGGGGCATTGTTTTAACACCAGGAGGCACTTAAAATTCTAATTTCTTTTTTGTTAGGTTTAAACTTTCACAAATTTGGGGGGAATTTCATGGTTTTAACCCGTTATAGAAAAATTCCCTAGTGACCCCTGCCTTACTGTTTGCCCTCCACAGCACAAACAAATTTTTCCCAGGACTTTTTTTGCCCTGAACGCTCTGGGAGTTTTAGGGGGATTTCACTAATAAAGGCTTAACTTTTGGGAATCACCCCCTACCCTTTGGCACACATCAACAAATAAGCCGTCTTTTTCCCTGGCTTTTTCCTGGGAGTGCCTTTTTTCCTCCCCGAGTAATGGGAGGTCCGCTTGGGGAAATTTTTTTCCAGAACAGGGGCCCGTTTTTATCACAAAAAAAAAACTTGTTTTGGTTTTTAGTCCTTTAGTTTTTTAAAGTAAAATCCTTGAATTCCTGCCATATTTTTCAGCCCTTTGTGGTCCAAAAATGGCAGCCTCACCAAGCCGAAACACACTATGTATGGGCCCTAAGCTTCTTAAAAACTCTCAAACCAAAAATTTTCTGGCCTTAAAATTTACTCACCTCATCATAGTTGCAGGCCCTTTTTTTAATTAAAACCCCATGCAAAATTCCTACCTTTTTTACAATGATCGCTTTAAAAGAGCTATTCCTGCCCAGGGTGTTTTTTCATTTTTTCCCCACCAAAAAAGGGGTTTTCTCAAACATCTTCCATCACTTGCATTTTTTTGGGTTTTGAAAACCAGTTTTAAACCTTTTTGGGAAGAACAGCCTTTCCCTTTATTGCCGTTTTCCCTTTCCCACAAAGAAGAATGGTTTTATTTGGGTTTCTTGTACAAAACCCCCCACCAAAGGGCGGTGAACCACCCCCTTTCATACTTATCCAAAAGAAACTCTTTCCCTTAAATTTTTTTAGGAAATTTTAACCCTTATTGCTGTTTGGGGTTGGGTTTGAAACTTTCTGGGCCCCAGGGGCACTTAATTTTTTCCCGAAAAAAACACCGAAAACCTGTAAAATACGAAAAAATTTCCCATTGTATGCTTGAATTTACCGCGGGGGGCTGGCTGGTAAACAATTTCCCCCGGCGGGAAAAATTTTAGGCTTTGGGTCAGGGGCCCCACATTGGACGCTTTTCGGACGAAGGCCGCGAGCGGGTTTTTGGGGGCTAGGCGGGGGAAAAATTTTTTGCGATCAAAGCGTCCCTATGCGGGTTGTCCCTATGCAAGGCCCGTTATGGGGGGGGTCCCTGTACTTGCAAAAATTTCCCCATTGCTCCCCTATCCACTCTATCATTGCCTTTTCAAAAACCAGAAATTTCAATTAAATTCCCACCCCTTTTTCTGGGAAAACTGTTCACATATTGTTTTAAAGTAAAAACTTTATTACACATCCCCCACCCACTCTGGAAAACCCCCCTTGCTCATCCCAAAACCCACCCTTCTGTTTTTACCTTTTAATTCTTTCAAATTTTAAAACCACCGTTCACTTTTCCCGGGGAAATCCCGTAAAAATTATTCCTCCCATAATTTTTACAATCTCTTTTTTTTTTCCCCCCCCCTTTATATAAAGGGGGCTAAACATGCTCTCGGGCCAAACCCAGGTACTGTCCCCCCTTTTATAATTTTTTTAAACAAAAATACCAAACCCCCCAACACTATTTCCCCCCCGCTTTTAACATTTCTGCATGATCCCCTCCAATTCCGCTTTCTTTAAACCCCCTTTTCAACGTAATGCCTCACCCCACCCCCCCCCACTCCACTCCCCGTTTTCTTCACTCCAAAAAGATGGTATACCTCCCTGGCCCTTTTGCATGAAATTACCGCCCCTTTCCCCTTTTTTTGTCAACATTTAAAAGTTCCTCAAAAAAATTCTCGCCCTCTACCCAAAACCTCCATTCCCCATCACAACTCCCCTACTCTGTTTTTTTCTGACAAATCCTTCGTTCTCTAGGGTTTTTTAAATTGTTTAACTCACTCCAAAAAATTTTTTTTATTTTCATTAAAATTCCTTGACGTGCCTCTCCCACTTATTTACTGCTCCCCCTTTTGCCCTCCCCAACCCCTCTCTTCACCTTTCTTTTTCTTCCATATACTCTACCTTCTTATAACACTTCTGCTTTTTTTAAAAAAACCCCTCATAAGGGAAAAATTTTTTTTCTTTTATCACACCCTTTTTTTCATCATTCAAATTCAAATTTCCCAAAATTTAAATTCAAATTTTTTTCTCTATAAAGATTACAAAGTTTTAATTTACAAAATTTTTGTTTTTATTTTTATGTAGTTAAATAATGATTTTCCCGAGTGTTCCACTAGAAAAGCCCCAGCATGGCTAGGCATTTCGGGGAAATTAGTTTAAATTTTTTTTTTAAAATATTAAAATTATGAGGTAAGATTGGGATTATGGCTAAGTGAATAAATACCCGGAAGGCCCCCCTTACCCCCCGTTTACTTTACGGCGTTCCCCTAATTTGGGGCATTTCCCAAAATTTTGACCCAAAAATCGCTATAAAGGGTCCCCCCCCCCCGACTTTTTTAATACGGTCACCGTGCCCCCCCCCTTTTTGGGTTTTCATTCTCCATTAGCCCCAGTAAGCGCTAAGTTTTCTCCATTTTGGGTTTGGGAAAAATTCCCAAAAATTTTTTAAAAGTTTTTTTTAAGTTATTTCATAATTTTTATAACTTGATAATTAAATTTTTGTATACCGACCTAAATAAATTACATACTGTGGGTGGCAAGGGAGGGACACATTTAAAATTTGGGAAGTGTCTTATGGGCCCCCAAAAATATATTAGTAATGATAATAATAATTTATCGAAGTCATTTAAATGTCGTATATTACGTTTAAAATACACATTTTCATTAAACCATCCCCCCTGATATTTTTTTCAAAATTATATAATAAACACGATGCATAAAAATATTTAAATAAGATAAATACACCCCACAGTAGAATAAATAAAGATAAATGTGAGATGTGGTAGCAGACGACTTGCACAAGTGACGCCATATTAGAAATGATAATAATAATAATAACAATACCCACCGAGTCTCATTAAATGTCGTATATTACGTTAATATACACATTTTCATTAATCCATCCATGATATTTTTTTTCAAAGTTATATAATAAACACGATGCATAACATATAAATAAGATAAATACACCCCACAGTAGAATAAATAAACATAAATGTGAGATGTGGTAGCAGACGACTTGCACAAGTGACGCCATATTAGAAATGATAATAATAATAACAATACTCACCGAGTCTCATTAAATGTCGTATATTACGTTAATATACACATTTTCATTAATCCATCCATGATATTTTTTTTCAAAATTATATAATAAACACGATACATAACATAAAAAGATGATAATACACCCCACAATAGAATAAATAAACATAAATATAAGATGTGGGAGCCACATAACTTGTACAAGTGACGGCAAGAATAACATTTTCTCTAATCTAACATAAGAGAAAATGTGTTACTGGGGATAACTGTAGAAAATTACTCCTTTCGTATGTATGTAAGTTTATTCAGGTATACACAAATACAGTTACATAGATTATCATACATAACAACATACGTGTAGAGAACCTAGGATAACCCAAAAAAGTCAGTGTGACTTATTTCCATTGCCTTCACTCAGAGCTTCATTTCTTCTCAAAATGATGTTACATGAGAATGGGAGTGTTCTTCTTTATTAATTCTACCGTATCAATGTAGAGACAACCTGTACACAATGTAACTTGTACACAAACCAGACGTGTACACTTCGTTTGTTTACAAAACTTACGTTCGCCTGGTTTGTTTACATAACTCTGCGCCTGTCCCCTCTCATGTACTCAAACAGTCCTGTTTGACAAGATCAAGTTTCGAGCATACTACTGCATTTTCACAACTCTGGGAGGAGTTGGTGTACCTTTGAATAGGTGTACCTTTGGCATTAAATGCTGCATTTAAAATTTAACTGAACAGTTTTTATTAAATTAAACCTAAAGAACACAAAGGCACAATACCATGACTGAAGCAATACACAAATAACCCACACAAAGAAAAAACTTTATGACAATGTTTCGGTATGACTTGGATCACTAACTAGTCACAGTAACGCATGGTTATTTGTGTATAAATTGAACCTATTTTATACTTTTTGTTACGATCATCACAACAACAATGCTTATGAACACACTGCGACATACATTAAAGATATGTAACAGTACATACAAAAAACTTACTTGACAAAAATCTGAACATTTTTCTGAGACAGCGAAGTATCCCTTTTCATTGGAACATCGGAAAAGTCTCGTGTGGCACATGTATCCTGCGTCCTTATCGTAAGGTTTACAACCACCAATGCCAATCCAAAAGAAGTTCTCCGGTTCCTCACCTTCTCTCACGACCTTCCGAAGTACAATACAAAAAAAAAAAATTTTTTTTCACTTAATTATGATGAATCTTATTTTGGTAAAACATGTTAGTAAAATACATAATAAAATATATCAAACTGGTGCTTACATATACAGTACTCATACTGTACCAGTAATATGTATTCTATCCATTTAAATAATTTCCTATTGTATTAAAAACTCTGCTGGAAAATACAGTAGCTAAATGGAAAACACATGTACTGTACATGCATGTTTTTTTTTTTTCCAACAAGTCGGCCGTCTCCCACCGAGGCAGAGTGACCCAAAAAGAAAGAAAATCCCCAAAAAGAAAATACTTTCATCATCATTCAACACTTTCACCTCACTTACACATAATCACTGTTTTTGCAAAGGTGCCCAGAAATACAATAGTTTAGAAGTCTTCTTTCTTTCCTTCAACACACCGGCTGTATCCCACCGAAGCGGGATGGCCCAAAAGGAAAAACGAAAGTTTCTCCTTTTACATTTAGTAATATATACAGAAGGGGTTATTAGCCCCTTGCTCCTGGCATTTTAGTCGCCTCTTACGACACGCATGGCTTACGAAGGAAGAATTCTGTTCCACTTCCCCATGGAGGTAAGAGGAGATAAACAAGAACTAGAAAGAAAATAGAAGAAAACCCAGAGGGGTGTGTATATATATATATATGATTGTACATGTATGTGTAGTGTGACCTAAGTGTAAGTAGAAGTAGCAAGACGTACCTGAAATCTTTCATGTTCATGAGACAGAAAAAAGGACACCAGCAATCCTACCATCATGTAAAACAATTGCAGGCTTTCGTTTTACATTCACTTGGCAGGACGGTAGTACCTCCCTGGGCGGTTGCTGTCTATCAACCTACTACCTAGGAGTTTAGAAGTATATATGTATATTTATTATTATTATCACACTGGCCGATTCCCACCAAGGCAGGGTGGCCTGAAAAAGAAAAACTTTCACCATCATTCACTCCATCACTGTCTTGCCAGAAGGGTGCTTTACACTACAGTTTTTAAACTGCAACATTAACACCCCTCCTTCAGAGTGCAGGCACTGTACTTCCCATCTCCAGGACTCAAGTCCGGCCTGTCGGTTTCCCTGAACCCCTTCATAAATGTTACTTTGCTCACACTCCAACAGCACGTCAAGTATTAAAAACCATTTGTCTCCATTCACTCTTATCAAACACGCTCACGCATGCCTGCTGGAAGTCCAAGCCCCTCGCACACAAAACCTCCTTTACCCCCTCCCTCCAACCTTTCCTAGGCCGACCCCTACCCCGCCTTCCTTCCACTACAGACTGATACACTCTTGAAGTCACTCTGTTTCGCTCCATTCTACCTCTACATGTCCGAACCACCTCAAAAACCATTCCTCAGCCCTCTGGACAACAGTTTTGGTAATCCCGCACCTCCTCCTAACTTCCAAACTACGAATTCTCTGCATTATATTCACACCACACATTGCCCTCAGACATGACATCTCCACTGCCTCCAGCCTTCTCCTCGCTGCAACATTTATCACCCATGCTTCACACCCACATAAGACCGTTGGTAAAACTATACTCTCATACATTCCCGTCTTTGCCTCCAAGGACAAAGTTATTTGTCTCCACAGACTCCTAAGTGCACCACTCACCCTTTTCCCCTCATCAATTCTATGATTCACCTCATCTTTCATAGACCCATCCGCTGACACGTCCACTCCCACGTCCACTACGTATATATCCCTCCAAATTGCCAATGCCCCAAACCCCTCCTTTAGAGTGCAGGCATTGTACTTCCCATTTCCAGGACTCAAGTCCGGTTATATAAAATAACCGGTTTCCCTGAATCCCTTCACTAAATATTACCCTGCTCACACCCCAACAGCTTGTCAGGTCCCAAATACCATTTGTCTCCATTCACTCCTATCTAGCATGCTCACGCACAATTGCTGGAAGTCCAAACCCCTCGCCCACAACACCTCCTTTACCCCCTCCCTCCAACCTTTTCGAGGACGACCCCTACCCCGCCTTCCTTCTCCTACAGATTTATACGCTCTCCATGTCATTCTACTTTGATCCATTCTCTCTAAATGACCAAACCACCTCAACAAACCCTCTTCAGCCCTCTGACTAATACTTTTATTAACTCCACACCTTCTCCTAATTTCCACACTCCAAATTTTCTGCATAATATTTACACCACACATTGCCCTCAGACAGGACATCTCCACTGCCTCCAACCGCCTCCTCACTGCAGCATTTACAACCCAAGCTTCACACCCATATAAGAGTGTTGGTACTACTATACTTTCATACATTCCCTTCTTTGCCTCCATAGATAACATTTTTTGCCTCCACATATACCTCAATGCACCACTCACCTTTTTTCCTTCATCAATTTTATGATTAACCTCATCCTTCATAAATCCATCTGCTGACATGTCAACTCCCAAATATCTGAAAACATTCACTTCTTCCATACTACTCCTCCCCAATTTGATATCCAATTTTCTTTATCTAAATCATTTGATACTCTCATCACCTTACTCCTTTCTATGTTCACTTTCAACTTTCTACCTTTACACACACTCCCAAATTTGTCCACTAACCTTTGCAATTTTTCTTTAGAATCGGCCACAAGCACAGTATCATCAGCAAAAAGTATCTGTCACTTCCCATTTTGTATTTAATTCCCCATAATTTTATCCCACCCCTCCCAAGTATCTGAAAACATTCACTTCTTCCATACTCCTCCTCCTCAATTTGATATCCAATTTTTCTTTATCTAAATCATTTGATAACCTCATCACCTTACTCTTTTCTATGTTCACTTTCAACTTTCTACCTTTACACACACTCCCAAACTCATCCACTAACCTTTGCAATTTTTCTTTAGAATCTTCCAGCAAAAAGCAACTGTTTCAATTCCCATTTTGTATTTGATTCCCCATAATTTAATCCCATCCCTCTCCCGAACACCCTAGCATTTACTTCTTTTACAACCCCCATCTATAAATATATATTAAACAACCATGGTGACATTACACATCCCTGTCTAAGACCTACTTTTACCGGGAAATAGTCTCCCTCTCTTCTACACACCCTAACCTGAGCCTCACTATCCTCATAAAAACTCTTTACAGCATTTAGTAACTTACCACCTATTCCATATACCTGCAACATCTGCCACATTGCTTTCCTATCCACTCTATCACATGCCTTTTCTAAATCCATAAATGCAATAAGAACTTCCCTACCTTTATCTAAATACTGCTCACATATATGCTTCAATGTAAACACTTGATCTACACATCCCCTACCCACTCTAAAACCCCCCTTGCTCATCTGCAAGTCTACAGTCTCTCTTACCTCTAATTCTTTCAATAATAACCCTACTGTACACTTTTCCTGGTATACTCAGTAAACTTATTCCTCTATAATTTTTACAATCTCTTTTGTCCCCCTTCCCTTTATATAAAGGGACTATACATGTCTCTGCCAATCCCTAGTACCTTCCCCTCTTTCATACATTTATTAAACCAATACCAACCACTCCAACACTATGTTCCCCCCTGCTTTTAACATTTCTGTCATGATCCCATCAGTTCCAGCTGCTTTACCCCCTTTCATTCTACGTAATGCCTCACGCACCTCCCCCACACTCACATCCTGCTCTTCTTCACTCCTAAAAGATGGTATACCTCCCTGTCCAGTGCATGAAATTACAGCCTCCCTTTCTTCGTCGACATTTAAAAGTTTCTCAAAATATTCTCGCCATCTACCCAATACCTTCATCTCCTCATCTACTAACTCCCCTACTCCTCCGTTTTTAACTGACAAATCCATTTGATCCTAGCTTTCTTAACTTGTTTAACTCACTCCAAAATTTTTTCTTATTTTCATTAAAATATCTTGACAGCGCCTCTTTTATCACATCAAGAATATCAACAGAAAACTCTCTCCTTAAGGTCTAGTCATGCCTAGTAGAATATACAGTACATCTGAAGCATGTGCATGTGTAGCACGAGCCTCTAGTACAGTACTGTGTATGTACTGCGGCACTATTATTCCAATAATCATGGGGAAGTTGTAAATACAAAGGAATCACACCTCCTGTGCAATACTGTTTGGCTTTGCCTATCTGATACTGCAATACATATACAGAACCCCACACCTGACTACTAAGAAATTGGTTCTTAAAATTGTTCCAAGGGAACAATTTTAAGAACTTAACATAAATGGTGCACAGGTTGAAGTTCATGCAAAAACTAGCACACTCTGAATATACAGAAACCAAAGCTAAATAGCTAGAAAATCATAAATCATAAGGTATTCCTACTGGGATACATAATTATAAAACAAAGAAAAAAGGAAAACACACCTGAAGACTGTACTTTTCTGGGTCATACATTTCTTGTGCAACTTCTTCTGCTAGTCTTCCTTCCTCTTCATCACTTTTCTCACCCAACCACACATATACAATACCACTGTCATCGTCCTGTCCAAAGGGAACCTTCAGTATATAACAAAACTCTGAGTTGAGAGAAGCAGCATTTGGCCTGATCTGGATACAGCGTGTGAAGAGTGGTGAGCCATTAGATCGCATGTGGAAAAGTTCTGGTTGAGGCTTCTGAGGTTCCTCTGGCACTGGTTCTGGTCTTTGTTTGGGCTTAAATTTGGGCTTAACTGCCTTGGCATTGACTTCTTGAGGCTCTTCCTCCATTTTAACTGGCTGCTTCTCTTGCCGACGTCTTCCTGTATGTATGACAAACTTTCTCTTGAAGTGAGCCATAAATTTTACAGCTTCTTGTTGCTGATGCATCCTCACCACCTCAAGCTTATCTCCAAATAATGTTTCAAATTTTTTCTGAAGACTGAAAGTGAATGTTAACCATCCCATATTAGAAGCTTGTCTTCCTTGCCAGAAATACACCACACACTGAAAGTCATCCTCTGGTTCAGTTTCCTCTTCTTTCTCATCTTCTGGTGGGTCTCCAGGCACCCAATAACGGCATAAGAATACATAGCACTCTGAGGAATAGAAATGCCCGAGTTCATTTTCAGGAAGCTTGACAAACTTTTTACCCTCCAACACAAAGGCATCCATTGAATCCAAGTCATCGTTCCACTCATCCATACACTGCTGAGCCTCTTCTAAGGTCATTGGTTGTTGTCGAGGTGTGAACAAGGCACTCAGATCCACTTTGGTCTCTTGTTTAGCAGCCCAATCCTTTAGATTGGCTCCGGTCTTCCTCACCGACTCTGCAGTACGTGTGAAGTCAACATCGATAACATCTGTCCAGCCATTGAATTTTGTCTTGAAAACCTGTGGCTCAGTTCCTTCTTTAACAAGAGTAGTCACTGCATGTTCGGGTCGAACTATCATTTTCAGCAACTCCTGAGACAGCTTCAGGGCAGCAGCTCTTACTAAACGAGTTGATTTACGACCAATCCAAACAAATACATCACAAAAACAGTCCAAGATGTATACATTCTTTGTACTAAGTAATTTCTGAATCAATTTGCCTTCAGGTACATCAACTTGGGGAAGTTCAAGGTAGCCCATACCTAGTCCAACCTGGTAAAGCCTTGGAACAACAGGAACAAATTTGTGATCTACATGTTCTTCAATCTCAAGATCCTCTTCTTCACCTTCTTCAAGCCCAAGAGCTGCCCAAAATTGTGGCCAATCATTGTTCTCCTTTCCTTGCACCAGTGTATGAATTTCTGCCGAATTCTTTCGTTCTTCTTTATTCATCTTCTCTGCACATAGTCTGGTTTTGGTGGTTAGTGTTTTCTTTGCTTTACTCCCTTGCCAAACATATATGTCTTTACCATCATCAAGTAAAAACACATGGCGAGGGTCCAAGGACTCTGCGACACAAGCCACTGTCTCTAGATGGATGCCAATGGTGGTTGGGAAGACACGATACAAACGAAGTGGATATTCCTGTAAAATAAGAAAACAATATTTAATGGTTTTCATCTCTGAGGCAAACATTATCTTTTATCTGAAACTAAACTGTGCCAAAAGTAGTACTATATTAGCATGACCTGACATCCTAAATGAATATGGTATTACCTGGAGTTTACCTGGAGAGTGTTCCGGGGGTCAACGTCCCCGTGGCTCGTTCTGTGACCAGGCCTCCTGGTGGATCAGAGCCTGATCAACCAGGCTGTTACTGCTGGCTGCACGCAAACCAACGTACGGGCCACAGCCCGAATATGAACTATGTTTTACTTACAATTTTTTTTTTTTTCAAAAAGTCGGCCGTCTCCAACCGAGGCAGGGTGACCCAAAAAGAAAGAAAATCCCCAAAAAGAAAATGCTTTCATCATCATTCAACACTTTCACCTCACTCTCACATAATCACTGTTTTTGCAGAGGTGCCCAGAATACAACAGTTTAGAAGTATATATGTATAAAAAATACACAATATATCCCTCCAAACTGCCAATATCTCAAACCCCCTTTAGAGTGCAGGCATTGTACATCCCATTTTCAGGGTTCAAGTCCGGTTATATAAAATAACCGGTTTCCCTGAATCCCGTCACTAAATATTACCCTGCTCACACTCCAACAGCTCGTCAGGTCCCAAATAGCATTTGTCTCCATTCACTCCTATCTAACACGCTCACGCACGCTTGCTGGAAGACCAAACCCCTCGCCCACAACACCTCCTTTACCCCCTCCCTCCAACCTTTTCGAGGACGACCCCTACCCCGCTTTCCTTCTACAGATTTATACGCTCTCCATGTCATTCTACTTTGATCCATTCTCTCTAAATGACCAAACCACCTCAACAACCCCTCTTCAGCCCTCTGACTAATACTTTTATCAACTCCACACCTTCTCCTAATTTCCACACTCCGAATTTTCTGCATAATATTTACACCACACATTACCCTTAGACAGGACATCTCCACTGCCTCCAACTGCCTCATCACTGCAGCATATACAACCCAAGCTTCACACCCATAGAAGAGTGTTGGTACTACTATACTTTCATACATTCCCTTCTTTGTCTCCATAGATAACATTTTTTGCCTCCACATATACCTCAATGCACCATTCACCTTTTTTCCTTCAGCAATTCTATGATTAACCTCATCCTTCATAAATCCATCCGTTGACACATCAACTCCCAAATATCTGAAAACATTCACATAAGAACAAGAACATAAGAATGTAGGAACACTGCAGAAGGCCTACTGGCCCATACGAGGCAGGTCCTTATCAAAACGACATCTACCTAAAGCTACTCAAGAAATAACTCCCGTACCCCTTGACACCAATCAAACCCAGCCCCTCCCACTTATATATTTGTCTAGTCTCTTCTTAAAGCTACCCAAGGTCCTAGCCTCTATCACCCCACTGGGAAGACTGTTCCACGCATCTACAACTCTGTTAGAAAACCAGTACTTACCTATGTCCTTTCTAAATCTAAATTTATCCAACTTAAATCCATTATTCCTGGTTCTTACCTGGTTCGACACCCTCAGTACTTTATTAATGTCTCCCTTGTTTATGCCCGTCATCCACTTATACACTTCAATGATATCTCCCCTCATTCTACGCCTCTCCAGAGAGTGGAGATTTAAGGCTTTAAGTCTATCTTCATACGGGAGGTTCCTTACACAGTAAATCATTTTAGTCATTCTTCTCTGTATGTTCTCTAATGAGTCTATGTCCATCCTGTAGTAAGGGGACCAAAACTGAGCAGCATAATCTAAGACACATGTGCAACATCTGGGTATCTTTATTGTAGACGTTTCGCCATCCAGTGGCTTTATCAATACAAATTCTAGGACATAACTTGAAGACAGTAGAACTATGTACAGAAGATGAGGTAATCAGTCCCTCAACCTAGGAGTAGGTGCGAAGAGCACCATAGTCATGGAGATTCACTTCTTCCATACTCCTCCTCCCCAATTTGATATAAATTTTTTCTTTATCTAATTCCTTTGATACCCTCATCACCTTACTCTTTTCTATGTTCCCTTTCAACTTTCTACCTTTACACACAATCCCAAATTCGTCCACTAACCTTTGCAATTTTTCTTCAGAATCTCCCATAAGCACAATATAATCAGCAAAAAGTAACTGTGTCACTTCCCATTTTGTATTTAATTCCCCATAATTTAATCCCACCCCTCTCCCGAACACCCTAGCATTTACTTCTTTTACAACCCATCTATAAATATACAGTGGTCCCTTGTTTTTCGTATTTAATCTGTTCCTGGAGGTGCTACTATTATCAAAATCTACGATTTTTGAATCAATTTTCCCCATAAGAAATAATGTAAATACAATTAATCTGTTCCTGACACCCAGAAGTATCAACAACAATTTTTTTTTTTTACCTTAAAGATAGATGTACACGCACAAAAGAATGAACATTCAACATGAGAATTACCTTTATTGAAGGCTGTTGTTGATGAATGGAAGACAGGGAGGAGGAGAGAGGGAAGAGAGGTTATTGTTTGGAAGGGGAATCTCCCTCCATAAGGACTCTAGGTCATTTCAGGGGTCACTTACCTAGCTTATAGATTTACATGCAGAAAAGAATGCCAAATAAATGTAAAGCACTAATAAAATATATAAATGAACACTGGGAATAGGGGTAGTTGATGAATGGAACGGTCTGCCTAGTAGGGTGATCAAAGCTAAAACATTGGGTAGTTTCAAATTTAGGTTGGATAAATACATGAGTGAGAGGGGTTGGATTTGAGTCGGACTTGCACCTGAGCTTATTGCTTGGGTAGCATTTGTTCTGTTAGTGGGCTGGATTTGTGAAGGTCCTGCCTAGTATAGGCCAGCAGGCCTGTTACAGTGTTCCTACTTTCTTAAGTTCTTATGTTCTTATTTAACATCACACTTACTAGTAGGGTGATATAGGCTAGGACCTTAGGTAGCTTTAAGAAGAGCTTGGACAAATATATGAGTGGGAGGAGCTGGGTTTGATTTGTGTCAATGGGTACAGGAGTAAATTCTTGGGTAGCTTTGGGTAGAGGTCATTTTGATAAGGACCTGCCTTGTATGGGCCAATAGACCTGCAGTGTTCGTCCATTGTTATGTTCTTAGTGGGAAGGATTGTAAAGGACCTGCCTAGTATGGGCAAAAAGGGCCTGCTGCAGTGTTCCTCCTTTCTTATGATCTTCTTGAACATAAGAATGGAGGAACACTGCAGAAGGCCTACTGGCCCATGCGAGGCAGATCCTTATCAAAACGACTACTACCTAAAGCTTCCCTAGAAATAACTCCCGTACCCAATGACACCAATCAAACCCAGCCCCTCCCACTCATATATTTGTCCAGTCTCTTCTTAAAGCTACCCAAGGTCCTAGCCTTTATCACCCCACTGGGAAGACTGTTCCACGCATCTACAACTCTGTTAGAAAACCAGTACTTACCTATGTCCTTTCTAAATCTAAATTTATCCAACTTAAATCCATTATTCCTGGTTCTTACCTGGTTCGACACCCTCAGTACTTTATTAATATCTCCCTTGTTTATGCCCGTCATCCACTTATACACTTCAATGATATCTCCCCTTATTCTACGCCTCTCCAGGAGTGGAGATTTAAGGCTTTGAGTCTATCTTCATACGGGAGGTTCCTTACACAGTAAATCATTTTAGTCATTCTTCTCTGTATGTTCTCTAATGAGTCTATATCCATCCTGTAGTAAGGGGACCAAAACTGAGCAGCATAATCTAAATGAGGCCTCACTAGTGATGTATAGAGCTGTAAAATAACTTTTGGACTTCTGTTACTTATACTTCTTGAGATAAATCCAAGTAATCTGTTGGCCTTGTTGCACACACTAAGGCACTGCTGTCTTGGCTTTAGATTTCTGCTTACCATGACTCCCAAGTCTTTTTCACATTCTGTATGATCAAGCTCAACTTCACCTAGATTATAGCTTCGAGGGTTATTTTCATTACCAAGGGCAAGTACCTTACACTTATCCACATTGAACTTCATCTGCCATTTTTCAGACCAAGACATTAATTTGTCCAAATCGTCCTGGAGTTCATTGATATCCTCCTCAGAGTGAATTATACGGCCTATCTTTGTATCATCAGCAAATTTACTCATGTCACTCGTAATCCCTTCATCAAGGTCATTAATGTAAATTATGAACAAGAGAGGGTCTAAAACTGATCCTTGTGGAATGCCACTAGTGACTAATCCCCATTCAGATTTCACTCCATTAATGGTAACTCTCTGCTTTCTATTGGTAAGCCATGCCTCAATCCATGCTAGAACTTTACCTCCTATACCATGAGCTGCCACTTTTCTTAAGAGTCTCTTGTGAGGTACTCTATTGAAGGCTTTACTAAAATCCAAATAAACAATATCATATTCCTTATCACTGTCAACTGCCTCAAATGTTCTATTGAAGAACGTCAGTAAGTTTGTCAGGCAGGAACGACCTCTCGTGAATCCATGCTGAGATTCATTTATCAAGTTTGTGTGAGGGAGGGATGGCAAGTTTATTGTTGGAGAATATGACACTAATATCAACTCTGTGGCTTATTTATCTATCACAATTCAACTAATATGACATAATAAACAATATTAATAACATAGAAACATGGAATATACTCTAGAATGAATAAGTCATTATGTATGTCACGAGAGGTGTTGTGTTGTTGTTGGGTATATAAGGGCCACTGAGAGTAAGCCGTCCATAATGGTGGTGAAGCAGCAGCTGAGGCGGCGGTGTTTTCTGTAGCCCTATATAACTCCAACATTGGAGGAGTTGGTAGAATTGCTGAAAAAGACACCCTCTACCACCATCGCTACCACCTTCTACCACTATTACAATGCTATCACCATCACTACCACTATTACAATGCTACCACCATCACTACCACCCTCTACCACCATCAACCACTATCAACTGCTTCCACTCTACCACCACCACCTTCGTATTTTTCTACAAACTTTTTCTTAATTTATATGTGTTTCTCACATTCTTTACCAAAGGGCTGGCACTAGAAGCTTTCTTTGGAGCCATAGTGACTTATTTAGCAGTTGCAAACACTAAAACGAATGGAATATTATGAAATGTATTGTATGAACTTGTGGGATCATCCTCACTCACTGATAAACAATGGCACACTGGCTGGGAATGGAGTGTGAGGCGGCTCGGGGCTGTGTGTACCTGTCCCAGACGAACTACTATTCGCGAGTCACTCTACGATTAGCGAGCCCATGTTTATACGAAAATATCGCTATGATTTCCGAAATCTACGACTCTCAAGCCCTACGATTATCGAGGGACCACTGTATTAAACAACCATGGTGACATTACACATCCCTGTCTAAGACCTACTTTTATCGGGAAATAGTCTCCCTCTCTTCTACACACCCTAACCTGAGCCTCACTATCCTCATAAAAACTCTTTACAGCATTTAGTAACTTACCACCTATTCCATATACTGTACTTGCAACATCTGCGACATTGCTTCCTTATCCACTCTATCATATGCCTTTTCTAAATCCATAAATGCAATAAAAACTTCCCTACCTTTATCTAAATACTGCTCACATATATGCTTCAATGTAAACACTTGATCTACACATCCCGAACCCTACTGTACACTTTTCCTGGTATACTCAGTAAACTTATTCCTCTATAATTTTTACAATCTCTTTTGTCCCCCTTCCCTTTATATAAAGGGACTATACATGCTCTCTGCCAATCCCTAGGTACCTTCCCCCCCTCTTTCATACATTTTTTAAAGAAAAATACCAACCATTCCAACACCATGTCCCCTCCCCCGCTTTTAACATTTCTGTCATGATCCCGTCAGTTCCAGCTGCTTTACCCCCTTTCATTCTACATAATGCCTCATGCACCTCCCACACTCGCATCCTGCTCTTTTTCACTTCTAAAAGATGGTATACCTCCCTGGCCCATGCATGAAATTACCGCCTCCCTTTCTTCATCGGCATTTAAAAGTTCCTCAAAATATTCTCGCTATCTACTCAAAACCTCCATCACCCCATCTACTAACTCCCCTACTCTGTTTTTAACTGACAAATCCATTTGTTCCCAAGGCTTTCTTAACTTGTTTAACTCACTGCAAAATTTTTTCTTATTTTCATTAATATTTCTTGACAGTACCTCTCTCACTCTATCATCTGCTCTCCTTTTGCACTCTCTCACCACTCTCTTCACCTTTCTTTTACTCTCCATATACTCTGCTCTTCTTATAACACTTCTGCTTTGTAAATACCTCTCATAAGCTACCTTTTTCTCTTTTATTACACCCTTTACTTCATCATTCCACCAATCACTCCTCTTTCCTCCTGCACCCACCCTCCTACAACCACAAACTTCTGTCCAACATTCTAATACTGCATTTTGAAAACTATTCAAACCCTCTTCAACCCCCCCACTACTCATACCTGCACCAGCCCATCTTTGTGCCAATAGTTGCCTATATTTCACCCGAACTTCCCCCTCCCTTAGTTTATACACTTTCACCTCCCTCTTACTTGTGTCATTTTCCTCTTATCCCATCTACCTCTTACTCTAACTGTAGCTACAACTAGATAATGATCCGATATATCAGTTGCCCCTCTATAAACATGTACATCCTGGAGCCTACCCATCAACCTTTTATCCACCAATACATAATCTAACAAACTACTTTCATTACGTGCTACATCATACCTTGTATATTTATATATCCTCTTTTTCATAAAATATGTATTACTTATTACCAAACCTCTTTTTATACATAGCTCAATTAAAGGCTCCCCATTTTCATTTACCCCTGGCACCCCAAATTTAACTACTACTCTCTCCACAACATTTTTACCCACTTTAGCATTAAAATCCCCAACCACAAGTACTCTCACACTTGGTTCAAAACTCCCCACGCATTCACTCAACATTTACCAAAATCTCTCTCCTCTATACTTCTCTCTTCCCCAGGTGCATATACGCTTACTATAACCCACCTCCCGCATCCAACCTTTATTTTACTCCACATAATCCTTGAATTAATACATTTATAGTCCCTCTTTTCCTGCCATACCTTATCCTTCAACATTATTGCTACTCCTTTAGCTCTAACTCTATTAGAAACCCCTGACCTAATCCCATTTATTCCTCTCCACTGAAACTCACCCACCCCCTTCAGCTTTGTTTCACTTAAAGCCAGGACGTCTAGCTTCTTCTCATTCATAACATCCACAATCATCTCTTTCTGATCATTCGCACAACATCCACGCACATTCAGACTTCCCACTTTGACAATTTTCTTATTATTATTCTTTTTAGCAATTATTACAGGAAAAGGGTTACTAGCCCATTGTTCCCGGAATTTTAATTGACTTTTACAACACACATGGCTTACAGAGGAAAGATTCTTATTCCACTTCCCCATGGATATAAAATGAAAAGTAATTAGAACAAGAACTAAGATAAAATCAAAGAAAACTCAGATAAGTGTGTATAAATAAACATGTAGTGTGACCTAGGTGTAAGTAGAAACAGCAAGACGTACCTGTAATCTTGCATATTTATGAGACAGACAAAAGACACCAGCAATCCTACCATCATGTAAAACAATTACAGGCTTTCGTTTTACACTCACTTGGCAGAACGGTAGTACCCCCCCCCCCCCAGAGAGTTAATAACCCAAGAAAGTCAAATTGTGTGGTTTATTTCCACTGAGGTCCTTAGGTACATTTCCTAAGAGGCAACCCACAACAGTCGACTAATTCGTAGGTATTTATTTACTGCTAACTGAACAAGGGCAACACATTTTAGGAGACTAGCCCATACATTTTGCGCACACCTGGGACTGAACCTGTGTCTTTTTGTTGCCAGCTAACTGCACTAGCATTGAGCTCAGACAAAACTACACGAGGACAGGGAATGGAGGGACCCCAACAGTTACCAAGCTTGAGTTCTGAAAGCTGGGATGTACATGGCATCACCTTGAAAGTGGTGTAAGGATGATGCAGGTCAACATCTACTCTGTGTCCTCCTAGATAAACAGCAAGGGAGTAACCGGTGGAATTTCTTCTCTGGGTTATCATAGTGGTAAAAGAAATTAAGATGTATTATTAAAGAAAAACATTTCTCTGAAAGCCGCACTTCTTAAAGGATCAAAAATGATCATAGATGTAGAAAAATGGCATTACTTTAATGAAAACAAGATAAGCCTTAATTAACTGAAAAAAAAAATGAAAATAAATCAGCACCCAGATGAAATGATAGCTAAAACACTTATTGATTGTACTAATGTTCTAGGACACTACACAGTGATCTTGAGATTTTTAACAGGATGGAAAAAATAGCTTTGGTATGCCAGCAGATACTTTACTAGTGGTGAGTAATACCGGTAAGTCAATCACTGGTATGCAGCAGGGCCAGTATTGGTATGCCTGCAAATGCTTAGGCATATCCAGCAGGTATGTGTGAGTCTAACCTCTTCTCCTGTATGAATTACTAAATTTAGGTCACCCTACCTCAGTGGGTTATGGCCAGTGCATTGAAAAAAAAAATATGTGAGCATGTTAGATAGGAATGAGTAGAGGCAAATGATTTGTGGGGCTTGATGAGCTGTTGGAGTGTGTGCAAAGTAACATTCTGTGAAGGGACTCAGGGAAACCAGTTAGCCAGATCTGAGTCCAGGAGGTGGGAAGTACAGCACTTGCACTCTAAAGGAAGGGTGGGGATGTTTGCTGTTTGAAGGGACATCTAAACTATCATATCTGCATGCCTCTGGCAAGACAGTGACAGTGTGAATAATGGTGGAAGCGTTTCTTTTTTGGATCACCCTACCTTAGTGAGAGACGGCCAATGTGTTGAAAATCAAAACACTTAACCATGGATATGCAGCAAATGTAAGTTTAATCGTTGGTACTGAGCAGAGTCAGCCCCGTATGCCATTGGATCCTTAAGCACTGAGCAAAAAGCCCATAGCAAGCATAATTTTCTGTTTCCACATGAACAAAACATCCAACCATCTAACTTACCATCTCTTCACAGTGAAAAATCCTGAGGCTGTGCGGGCCTCCCTTTGATGTAGGTAATATCGTGATCAAACAATTCTAGGAATTCATCGGATTCATCAGCCTGTTCCTCCCTATGATAGTCCCTGCGCACCCAAATAGTTCCGCAAGTTGACAGCATGGGGTGGTGAACATGCTTTCTTATCCAGCTGTCAAGTAGGAAAAATTTCTACATTAATATTTTTAAATAAAACACATGATGTGGACACTAAGATGAGCAAGGAAAAACTAATAAGGGGACAGTAGGACCCCGTATCTGAGGGGGATAAGTTCCAAGACCTGCCATGGATACCCAAAACCATGGATAGTAGTGAACCCTAAATACAAATGATGAAAATGTAATTAAATTAAGATGTTTATTTTGACTTTATACATGGTTGTGCAGGGTAATATAATAGTTAGGTGTGCATGCCAAAAGCCCCTTTGTATGCAGTGCATTTCGGGCAAACTTAAAGATTAACTTAAGATTAGGAGACAATAATAGTTCATATGGTCATCAGATGAGTTAGAGTACAAGAGAACTAAATTTCTATCAGAAAATGCTACATGGTTTTGAAAAGGGTCTAGTAGAGAATTTATTCACTATTGAATTAGTTTTTATAAAGTTTTCATTTATTACAGTGGAAAAATTTTAAAAAAAAATTTTTAAATTTTGATGTATTAATTTTTGTACTATTTAAAAAAAATAAAATTTTGGTTTTTAAACAATGGAACAATTTAAAAAAAAATTTACATTTGATGTTTTTAAATTTAGTAATACGTTTTTAAAACCCTTTCGGGGTTTCCAAGGCCAAAATCTGAAGTGGTGCCCCACTGCCCAAAGAATTTAAAAAAAAAAATTGTTTTTTTTTTTTCTTAAAAAAATGGTAGAGAATCTTTTTGTAAAGGTTTAAAAAAACAAAAAGTACGTTTTTTTGATGGAAATGACCAAATTTGCTCTCGCGAATTTTGATGTTTTCAAACGATATTTACGAATCGGCGATTTTGGGCCCAAA